GGTGGGGCAGCCCGGGGGCGCCGCGGGAGCCTGAGAGGAGCCCGGCGCCTCCATGAGCTCCTAGCTCCCACCCTGCGCCGTCCTCGCCGGCAGCAGCTCCAGGTGCGCGGGTCAGAGCAGAGCCGGGGACGCAGCTGGCTGCAATGGCGTCCAACATGGACCGAGAAATGATATTGGCTGATTTCCAGGTAAATTTCAAGCCGCTGCCGCCACACGACCGTGGCTTCTCGCTGCTTTTTTCTCTTTCTCCTCGTTGCTGTGCTGCTTGTTCTTTGTGGGAAGGTCCAGGGCGGTGGGTGTGAAGCCCACTCTCCAAAGCCTCTGCTCGTTCGTTTGTTTGTTCTTTCTTTGGGTTTTTTTGGGTTTTTTTTTTTTTGTCAGAAATGGGGAACATGTGCCCTCTTCTCTCAAGGTGTGTGAACAAAATGTCTTCTTTAACTTAGAGAGTTTCAGTTTTTAATAAAATACAAAAGCTTTTTCATCCACTCTGCTTGTTCCAACCCTCTACAACTACCCAGGCCCTGGGACAGCTGTGAGCCAACTCACTTGGAAGAGGCAAGTGCCAGGGAGGATACAAAACTCATCACTCCTCATGATTTGTCACAGTGTTTGTAATGAATCACTTACTGGTACTACAGATTAACGCTGAACAGAGGTGTTTCCATTATAACATCAACGCTAACTTCGTGGTTGCCTCAGCATATGACTGTTGTAATGACGGTAAAACTCTTCCCACCCCATTCCAAACAACAGCGTGTTTGTGTAGAAAGGAGGAATATGCCCTTAAAAGTTGTTACCTTCCCTCCTCCCTACAAAAGGGTTATAATTTGACTTCAAACTCTTAAGTCTTATTCCCAGAATAAAGGCTTTCTCTAAATAAAAGTGATGTGTTCAGGAGCCTGGTTAATCTGTTCAGTATATTGCTTTTTAATATTGCTTGGTTTTGTATTTTTCTAAGAACAAGTAAACAAACAAGTGGAAGATAGCTGCATTTGAAATAGCAGGGAGAGCCAAAAGCAGCTTGGAAGGGTATCAGATTATATTTGAATGTATCTTTTTAATATTTGCTTTTCAATCGATGGGTTTTTTAAGCTTTGTCCGTTTGCAGTGGTTGTTCTTACATGGATAGGCTCCTGGATATTCTTGGATTGAGTTGTAAAACTGCTGTCTGTATGTTCAACTTCTTAAAAGACTGTTTCTCAGCTGTTCACAGTGAAACTATTTAATTTTGTTTAAAAAAGTAATCCCTTCATTCACTCTGTCTGTGTGTGTTTAACAAGAATGTTTCTTTGGAATTACAGGTAGGGTGACTGTAGGGTACATTGTGTAATTCCTCTTGTGCAAAAGGTATCTGATGTCCTACTGACATAACATGCAGAGTTCCCATTTGATAACAGGGAAGTGTTTTCCCTTTCTGTACCTGAGTATCTTCTACCCATGCTTATTAAAACATTTAACAAATGTTACTGTAATGATCCTTTATTTTGTTGTGCTTGGAGATGCTTTTGTGTGTGTAAGGAGTGACATCTCAATTTTAAGGCTGGAATTTCATAAAGGAGTTCTTCCAGTAGCAATACGCTGTGTAAAAGGAAACTGGGACCCCAGTTCTGCACCCATACTAGTGGAGACAGACTCTGATGGAATCCTTCATTATTTGCTGAAACGGGTTTACATTCAGGAATTGCAGATGATGATTAAATTAGTGGCTGGTGAATGTAAGATTTTTTTTTTTTTTTTTTTAATAGAGTTTTCAATATGTATCCATTTTCCAAGTTTTTAGTGTCAATGCTATTTTGCAGTTCTGTGGTATTTTTCTGGTCAGGTTTTGAAGCCAGTTAATAAAGGTATAAGAGTAACTGCAGTGTTCGGTACCATGAAGACAATTAAGTATTACTGCAAACTGGCAGATGGGTGGTGGAGTCACAGAAACCAGTTGTAGATCAAGGATGCCATAATGTGTCTGAACCTAGGATCCAGGAAATATTTTATCATATAACAATGCTTATTTTAAAAAATCCAAACTTTCTCCTCTTGTATTTCAGCAGACAACTTTGTTTTTCTGTTTCAGCCTTTTTTTTTTTTTCTTTTTTTTTTTCTTAAATAATCTCAAGCACCTACATGATTCTGAAACACTGAACTGTCAATTGTGCTGTTAAAGCTTCAGGTTAGTGAAGGACATTGTCAATCATTGTTAGGCCTTGTATCTTTAGGCTGTTACAAAATGGTAAAGGATTTTGGGTTTTTAACTACTTGATGGAATTTACAATTCATTCACTAAGAATTTAAAATGGAAAATAAAACATTATGTGCCAAGTAATTCTGCATGCTTTTCCCTTCTATATTTTCTGTATGTTTTCATTAATAAATGTGTTTCTCAGAGTTCTACTGCCATCTTCTATATTTGTGTGAGGTATCTTGTTGAAGAATGTTGTGCACACTGGAAATTTTAAAAGCAATTCTTTGTGGTTTTGTTTAGCTAATCTTTGCTGAATTAAATTGGGAGGGCAACTTCCATCACCATTTCACGCTTGCCTTTCCCAAGTTACTTTTAAGAGGGATAGGGCAGTGGTCTTTGAACTTTTAAAACTTGAAAGGGTTTTCCCTCCCCATAAAAAAAAATTTTCAGTGAAGTCATAGTTATACTGATGTTTGATGCTTTTGTGAAGCTTTCATGGACTGACTTTGTATCTTTCACAGCCATTAGGGATTCTGCCACTGATTTCAAGTAGAGCAGGATCTTGTATTGCATTTGGTTTTTCCTTTTAGCTCTGATTGTCATAATGGGTTACTTCTGCATTTGGAGGTACTAAAGAGAAATACTTCTAAAAACATTTTGTATATATACATACAAACATTGAATAATCTTATAAAATATTTTAACTATAGAGTAAAACACAGTCAGTGATCTACCAAAATATTTTTTTCTTAATGTCTCAAAACAATTTAAGCTTGTTCTATGTGGTTTATAATTATTTTCTTTCCCTCTCCTTTTTTTTAATGAGGTTACTGTATGCTACCCAGGGAGTACAAAGTACGTATTCATGCATGGGGCTGTATAAGCAACCTGTCTAACTTTTCCTTCTTAGGTCCTCACTTAGGAAAGATTATGCAGAAGCTTAGCTTTATACATGAGTAGTCTGATTGTTTTCAGTGCAAGTAGCTAAAGTAGTGGAGTTAAGCACACAAACAAGTTTTAGCTGTTTTACTAAATGCAATTCAGAATTTCTCCACAAAGTGTCATTGGCATATAGGAAAAACTCCATAGGAAAAAGCCCAACTTGTGTTTGTAGCATAAATTCTTTAAAAAGGTAACTGCATGTTAATTTGTAAAAGAGTGATGCTGCAACATACCTCACATACTGGGGGAAACAAGGGCATGTGATTTCTTCCAATTTTTGTTAACATCTCTGTTCTTCTTTTGTTTGTTGTGTTTAACTGCAAAATGTTCTTCCATCTCCAGTGGGATACCCAGGTACTCACATGATACAAACATATTAATGATCTATGCATTTTGGGGTTTGAAGAGAATTGCTCTCTCGGTGTATTAGTCCAGTTTTCATTATAAAGAGAATAGATAATTGTTTCCTTTTTTTTCTTTTATTTTAAATTGCAAACTTTAGTTGCACTGAACTTAGTTAAATTGGCATAGTTAAACTCTTCAGGAATGAAAAGCAATCTTTGAGTATTGGCAGAAGTGTCAGATGTTGACATTTTTATATTCTAGCACCTTTCCTTTTGTTTTTACAGCTTCACTTAGGATGGGGACTAAAATTAGCAAGAATTTTTGTCATTATAAGTTATGTCCACCTATAGGACCACTGTATTCATGCTATGTGGTTGTCCTCACAACAATTCGTAAATGTAGAGTGGGCCTAAGGGTTGGAGTATTGTGGGAGTTGCCAGCTCCTGGGTGGCCACACATCACAAGACTATCTGGCATGTAGAGTTTCAGAAGGAAATTTTTCATGGAATTCACAGTTTTCATTGACCAAATAAATAAGTAGCTCAAGATTTGGTCTGGGTGGAAGGACTTCGGAGTGGAATGGCAAAACTAAAAAATCCTTGCTTTCATCAAAACAACAAGATATCAAAACAGATATCTAATAGTTTTCTTCTTCTTCTGTCTTCAATCTGTGTTCATTGTGAAACAAAGTTATGTAAGTTTTTTTCTTTTTACTTTTTTTTTTTTAATGGAGCAATAGACTACTTTGGTATCATTCACACACATGTATATAAATTTTTTTTTTTTCAAACTTCACCTTTGTGTCAATCTTTTTCATAAAAACAGAGGTTTGTGGGAGGAGCAAGGGGGAATTGGGAAGCAAGAACCTCATTGCCATCAGTTACAGAAAGGTGAGAACGCATGCTAGATAATCATGTTTTGAGTTAAAAAATTGATCATGACATTGACACATCAGCTTATTATTTCTTTATTTTTTTAAGTTTTAACTATAATTCAAGCTACTCATTTCCTTCTGGAATGGCTAAAATTAAAGAAAAACAGTGCTATTAAATAACTGACAAGATATATTTTTAAAAGGTTTTGGGGGTGTTTTTTTTGGTGGTTATGAAAAATATCTGTCTACTTCAGCCCTGTACACATTTATCTCTGTTGTGCACACTGTTTTCACTAACAGTCTATGTGCAGAATTTACCTATGTATTAATTTTTTTTTTTTTTGAGGGTGCTAAGGGAGCTTTGCTTTCTTCTCTGTGTGTTGGCATGCTGGCTCAGGTTTTCTGTCACTTTTAAGTTATTGCCAGTATGAAAATTTGGTGGGTGAAAAAGGTAGGCAGATACAGGTATAGCTTCAAGTCAGTACCCTTGATTCTTGCCCTGGACTGTGACTTATGCTGGGGGCTGGGAAGAGTGTTTCAACCATTTTATGTAGGGGTAAACGATCCACAAAGAGGTTTTGAACAAAGAGCAAAACTGATGTCCTTAACGTTGATTTCTGAAAGAAATTGTGGTGTTTTGTCATTAAGGCATTGGAGCAGAAAGGACTGTTCTTGATTTCTTTGCAGACTTTCTGTGAAGTGTTTGGCAACTCACTTGGAACAAGGTCCTCAGCAAAAGATAGGTGCTGAAAAAACTTCCAATCAAAGTTTAAATCTTTGGAAAGTGTCGTTCAACTTATGTTTTAAAGTTCTTGGAGGCCTACATTTTCATGAGAAAGTCTCCCTAGGCA